CTTCACGCCTGTTTTTCGTGTGTCGTCGTATTTCACCGGACGAGCCGGATTTACAGTGCGAAAATGTTTCAGCGGGCTCTACCATTGTTAAATTACTAACACAGTATTGATCAATAACATATTTTTCTCCTTCATTTGAGCTGACAACAAGACAGTATCAGTGTGTCAGAGGTGAGGGTCCGCTACGCATCTTATCAGCATCGCGCGACCCCGCGCCGCTTGCATAACTCACATGATCTATTCATACATGTGACTATCACGTAGAAAAAATCTTTTGTATTGATACTAGCTGTTGCCCGCGACTTCGTCCGCGTGGTATTAGAAACAGACGAACTATGTTAATAATAAAAAAACTGGGTGCCCCTTGGAAACCCGGCGTTTTTCGGGGATAAACCTTTTTTTCCAGACTATGCTCTACATCTGTGCTGAATTTCATGAAGATCCGTGCAGCCGTTTTGGCTACAAACTCTAACAAACATCTATCCATCCATCTAAACTTTCACATTTATAATATTAGTATGATTACTAAATTTCCTTGTTATTTTGATTCAGACAAACTGCTATTTCTATGATTACAGACAGAGAAATGTGTGTATGGTAATTCTGACACAAGAAGACGCATGTATGGTATGATGTAGGAGTGATGGCGGACCTGGTGCTGCAGCGAGGTGGGCTCGGACTGTCCGAGGCGGTTGATGTCGAAGATGACGACCAGGTTGTCTAGTTTGTAGTGCGAGGCGAAGTGCAGCGACTCCCACACACTGCCCTCCGCGGCCTCCCCGTCACCCACCAGGCAGTACACCCTGAGACATACGGCCTTTAACACCATGCCACCGTAAATTCCTTAACATAAACTCTTCATAATCATCCTAGCTTCAAACTGTTAGTATGTAATGTTAACCTGTAGGGCGCCTGGTCGAAGTATTTGCCGACGTAAGCCATGCCAGCGGCGACGGCCAGCCCCTGGCCCAGTGAGCCAGTGCCCACGTCGATGAAGCTGAGACGCGGCGTGGGGTGCCCCTCCAGGTCGGAGTCCAGCTTGCGCAGGTTGGCCAGCTCCGACACCGGGAACAGCCCCGCCTCAGCCCACGCCGCGTATAGGATGGGCGCCGCGTGCCCCTGACAGATACACATTTATGTTTACTTGTTAACTAAGCTGCTTTATGGCATTATAAAAAAAATCATGCTTTTGTAATATCCATTGTTTATTATTTTGTTCTTCAAAGATAATTATTGAAATTGATTTTTAAATCCAAACATTTGACTTTACTTTTGTAAGATAAGAGTGACAAAAGAAAATAAAGATATCACGTGAATTTAAGAATCAGAGATAGTTAAGAAAATTTACATATCGTGTATTGTTTTGTAAAAAGATCCTGTTTTTATGAGCATTTGTTGACTATAATGAACAT